ATACAGATGGCCAACAGACACATGAAAAAATGTTCAACATCACTAATCATCAGAGAAATGCAAATCAAAACCACAATATCACCTCACACCTGTCAGAATGGCTATTATCAAAAAGACCACAGGGACTTCCCTGGTGGTGCAGTGGTTAAGAATCCACCTGCCAATGCAGGGGACACGGGTTGGATCCCTGGTCTGGGAAGATCCCACATGCTGCGGAACAACTAAGCCTGTGCACCACAACTACTGAACCTGCGCTCTAGAGCCCGCAAGCCACAACTACTGATCCCATGTGCCACAACTACTGAAGCCCGTGCACCTAGAGCCTGTGCTCCGCAACGAGAAGCCACTGCAATGAGAAGCCCGTGCACCGCAACGAAGAGTAGCCCCGCTCTCCGCAACTAGAGAATGCCCGTGTGCAGCAACAAAGACCCAACGCAGCCAAAAATGAATAAATAAAATAAATAATTTTTTTAAAAAAAGAACAAATAAGCGTTCGCGAGGATGTAGCAAAAGGGAACCCTTGTGCACTGTTGGTGGGAATGTAAATTGGTGCAGCCACTATGGAGAACAGTATGAAGGTTACTCAAAAAATTAAAAGTGGAACTACCATAACATCCAGCAATTCCGCTCCTGGGTATTTCTCCCAAGAAAAGGAAAACACTAATTCAAAAAGCTCTCTGCACCTTTATGTTCATAACAGCATCATTTACAATAGCCAAGATATGGAAGCATCCTAAGTGTCCACCAACAGATGAATGGATAAAGAAGATGTGATATAGATAGATAGAAAGATATAGATACATATACATACACACACACACACACACACACACACACACACACACAAGGAAGTATTACTCAGCCATAAAAAAGAATGAACTCTTGTGACAGCACAGATGGACCTAGAGAATATTATGCTAAGTGAAATGAGAAAGACAAATACTGTATGATTTTGTTTATATGTGGAATCTAAAAAACCAAAACAGGACTTCCCTGGTGGGGCAGTGGTTAACAATCTGCAGGGCACATGGGTTCGAGCCCTGGTCCGGGATGATCCCACATGCCGCGGAGCAACTAAGCCCATGGGCCACAACTACTGAGCCTGCACTCTAGAGCCTGCGAGCCACAACTTCTGAGGCCCACGAGCCTAGAGCCCGTGCTCTGCAACAAGAGAAGCCCCCCGCTTCCTGCAGCTAGAGAAAGCCTGCATGCAGCCAAATAAATAAATAAAATAAAAAACCAAAACAAATGAACAAACATAACAAAACAGAAACAGAGTCATAGATACAGAGAATAAATAGGCGTTTGCCAGAGGGGAGGGGGGTGGAAGGAGGAGAGAAATAGGTAAGGGAGATAAAGAGGTACAGACCTCCAGTACAAAATAAATGAGTCACAGGAATGAAAGGTACAGTGTGGGAAAATAGTCAATAATTTTGTAATATCTTTGTATGGTGACAGATGGTAACTAGACTTATCGTGGGATCATTTTGAAATGTACAGAAATATCGAATCACTCTGTTGTGTAACAGGTACTAGCATAGTGTTGTAGGTCAACTATACTTCAAAAACAAACAAAATCATAGAAAAAGAGATCAGATTTGTGGTTACCAGAGGCAGGGGTGGGGTGATACGGAATTGGATGAAGGTGGTCAAAAGGTACGAACTTCCAGTTAAGATAAATAAGTACTAGGGATGTGATGAACATGATAAATGTAATTAACACCATTGTACATTATATATGAAAGTTGTTATAATAGAAAATCCTGAGTTCTCATCACATACACAAGTTTGGTGGGGTTTTTTTCTATTTCTTTAATGTATCTCTAGGAGAGATGAATGTTCACTAAACTTCTTGTGGTGATCATTTCATGATGTATGTAAGTCAAATCATTATGCTGTACACTTTAAACTTATACAATGCTATATGTCAATTATATCTCAATAAAACTGGAAGAAAAGAAAATAAAAATACCTCTGCTAAAAAAAAAAAAAGGTTGGGAAAAAAATGTGTGCAACACATTTGATGGACAGTGGTTATTGTCTATAGCAGGGGTCTGCAAACATTTTCTGTAAAGAGACAGACAGTAAATATTTGAGGGCCACAAGGTCTCTGTCACCACTGTTCAAGTCTGTCTCTGTAGCACAAATGCAACCATAGACCATTCATATACAAATAAGCAAGGCTGTGTTCCAAGAAAACTTTATGGATACTGAAGTTTGCATTTCATATAATTTCCATCATTCATCATAACATCATAGAATATTATTATTCTTTTTTCTCCAACCATTTAAAAATGTAAAAACTGGAAATTCCCTGGCAGTCCAGTGGTTAGGACTCCACACTTTTACTGCCATGGGCCCGGGTTCAATGTCTGGTCAGGGAACTAAGATCCCGCAAGACACCTGGCGTGGCCAAATAAATAAATAAATAAATAAATATGTAAAAACTATTCTTAACTTACAGGCCTCATAAAAACAGGTAGCTGGTCAAATTTGGCCTAACGGCCATAGTTTACAACCCCTGATCTTTGATATACAAAAACTCCTGCTACTTGGTGAGAAAGGCAAAGGACAAAGGATGTAAACCTGCAGAAAAGGAAATCCAAATGGTCAGTAAGCATTTGTAACAGGATATGGAGAGATTTTTTTCCTGTTAACAGAGTAAATATATGACAAATAATCCCACATTCTAGAGGGAGGGTCTTGACATGCTCTTAAAAGCTTTCTAGAAGAGGCCAGAACCAGTCCTTTGACTATCAACCCCCATCACCCACCTCCAGATAATAAGAGACAGCTAAATGATTCATTAAAGGAAAGAGAAGGGGGTCAGTGTCATACTTAGCCTATTTGACACCCAAAACAGATGACTTTTTAACTCTCTCTCCACTTTACGAGACTATTTTGGTAATTATCATGAAATGAAGCTATACCCAATATTGAAGACATTACATATTTCAAAATAGATTATGTCTTTGTTCCAGTAACTTCCTCTTTTGCTTTTTTTCTTTGTTGTGCTCTATTGGGCAATGTCTTTTCCTGTTGGAACAGTGCCCTCTTCACACGCTATAAAGGGATTCTGCAGATGTAGTTATGTCCCCAAATCAGTTGACTTTAAGAAAGCGACATTATCAATGTGGTCCTAACCTAATAACATGAGCCCATTAAAAGCAGTGTCTCTGGAAAGGAATGCAACTTAGCTGACACTTTGATTTCAGCCTTACTGAGAACCCAGACATGTTGTGCCCAGGCTTCTGACCTACAGATCTGTGGGCTAATAAATGAATGTTGTTTTATGCCACTAAATTTGTGATAAATTATTACATAGCAATAGAAAACAAATATATGCTCTACTGCCCATACCCAAGTAGACTGCTCCCACCCTCTGCCCTTGGTACCCACCAGTAAGAAGCCTTAGGGGAATGTAAGGTGGTTTTCCCTCTCCAGCCCTCCCCCAATTATGGTTAGTATGCAGACTACACCCTGTTTCACACGGCTGGACTGAGGCCAAGACAGGGCTCTGCCTGGCTCTTCCTCCCTCATCTCATGTCCTGAGGTGCCCGCTGAAAGTCTTTGGTCTCTTTAGTGCAGTCGTGAGAATCACTGCTCTAGTGATACCCTATACTTTCCTACCTGTGGATGCTGTTTCCATTTTTTAATTGTACTTTTTTATCGTAAATTTAAAAACGAAGAGCATCTTTGTTCATAAAACTTTGAATTTTGGCTGGTTTTCTTAGGATAAGAAATGCTGAGTCGAGGCGGATGAACATTTTTAAGGCTCCTGACATACACCGCCAAAGTTTTCTAGAGACTCTACCCATCTACCATCCCATTAGTCAAGTATGATGCCTAAGGTTATTTTATCTAAGCTGAGCCAGTGGAGATTTTGGGTCAAAGAATTAGGAGATATTTCGGGGGAAGACCCTCTTCTCATTTTACCTCTGAACTCTCCCCATTAGGGACCCGTCTTCACTCCCAAGCTTCCAGTCGCCTAATGGGAACCTCTACCTGGAAATTCCAAAGGCACCCAAACTTGGTATGTCCAAAACCAAATCACTTCTGTCACCTTTCCACCTCTTTTCCACTGAAATGCTCCAGATCCAGAAAACTGACCTATCGCTGTGGCTGGGACCACGGTGGTAACCATGACGATAACCATGGCAACCAGATTCCCTAATGAAGTCACACGGAGTGCAGACATGAAGCAGGAGACACAGAAGAACGACAAGCCCGTCCTCTCCCGCGTTGGGCACAAAATGGGACATTTAAGGGCATATACACGACAGCGCCTGCGCACCAAGGCACGGGACGAAAGGGTGACGAACATACGTCACGGAGCTTCTCGAAGCCCGGAAATCAAGGCATCGGCGGCTGGTGCAGAACCGCGGTTTCGGTTCTGGGAGTCCGGGTTTTTGTGCGCCCAGGCCTTGTTTTCGCGCCCGGCTAGGGATAACTGCGCAGCCGCCGTAGGGCGGGCCGACCGCCAGGCGCGGGCGCGCGAGCGGGCGCGCAGGCGTTTGTGCGCACGCGCCCTCGGACGCGCGTGCGCGCGTATAGTCCGGGAACTGGGAACAGGAAGCAGAGGGGAAGGGGTGGGGTTGAACCCGGGTCTCGCGCATGCGGGCGGCATACAAAGCATTTGGCGGGTTTTTCCGGGCTTCTCTGCTCTTATCCCGTCCTTGAGATGTTCAGTGGTGGCTTTTAGGAAGCTGGGCGTTCTCCCCAGGAGAACGACTTCTCAAGATTTCTGCTCTCTTCCTTCAGGCGTTTGGGGGCTTCAAGAAAAAGAAATCGTGTTTCTCCGTGACTGACGGCTGGGGCCTTCCGACGGCCTGAGGTCTTGGGCCATTTGGTCACTCTCCGTCTCGGTCCCTCGGAGGGTGAAAGGATCAGAGGGACCTCGTCCTGCTCATCGATCTCCACGCCTGTGGGTTTCTTGGCGTCAGGTCGGAGCTGGGTGGGCCCGGCCCCGGCCCCGGCCCCGGCCCTCCTCCTGGGTCATCATGGCCGTGTCCGCCCAGCTCTTGGTGGAGGAGTTGGAGATCTTCGGCCTAGAATGCGAGGAGGCTCTGGTTGAGAAGTGTGAGTCCCTTGCCCCCTCCCTGGACCCCAGCCCAGGTTCACGCTCCCGCTCGGTTCCGAGGTTCACCTCCCCTAGATGGGGCTTCTCCGTGTTTGTGAGATGAGTTAAACTGAGTATTGAGATTTGGGATGTGAGGACTGTGAAACGCTCACAGGGTACTGCGTGGATTCCCAAATCAAAAATAAGAATATGAAGAGCGATTTTAAATCGGCGCAGTCTCACCGAGTTTGGAAAATGCTTAAAGCTCAATAACAAAGCAAGAGATGTTCGGGTTTTGAAAAGTAGCTTTTTATTCCTGGCTCCTCCCTTTCCAGCCTACACCTAAACTTCTGCTGAAC